ATTACATAGATGCCATTGAAAACATTCATTACACAGATGGCATTAAAACATTCATTACATAGATGCCATTGAAAACATTCATTACACAGATGGCATTAAAACATTCATTACATAGATGTCATTAAAAACATTCATTACATAGATGCCATTAAAAACATTCATTACATAGATGCCATTGAAAATATTCATTACATAGATGGCATTGAAAACATTCATTACATAGATGCCATTTTACGGGACGACAGGCCACTCTACATTAAAAACAAGACTAATCTGACTATTTCTTTATTTCGACCGCCAGGATTCTCCTCACTAGCGCCACAAGATCAGGCAACTCTTCTCCGCCATGCCTGGGATGAAGTGTGGATTCTGGGAGCTTATAGGTACGGTCAAGGTCATCACTAAGAATAACAAGGTATGCAAAACTTGAATTCATAACAAGGACAATTACGAATTCAAGTTTAGCACACTTTGTTCTTATATTTCATTTACACAACTTGGATTCAGTCCATCAATTATTTAACTTATAATACTATAGACTATAGGGCTCACCTATCTGCGTCCTGTCCGATTTCCCCATCAACCTAGTGATGCGACACTACCTACATGGGGCGTAGGTAGGAGGTCGGAGGGGGCGGTCAGCCGCCGGGGGGGGGGTACATTATTTTTTATTGAGGGATGGCATTTTCGTCTAACCACAGTCACAGAGATTTTTTTCGTGGAAAAGGGGGAGCTTGATTCTTGGCACGCCCCGGGTGGCAGTAACCATAGCTACGCCAGTGCCACCTGCATTAATTATGCTTACAAAAAGTCAGCATACGATATTATCCCTTAGAAACCGTTTCGTGTAAGATTTGAATACTTCCGGTCTAGGATGACCCAGTTAATTTGTGTTGTTCTATTATCTGTTGTCTTTTTTTGTTGTTGCTGTGTTCAAAGCCGCGGGACCGTCACGTGACCTTTGAAAGGCTCCCAAGCCACTTCTCGATTTTGTGCCCTCACCCCCTTGCGTTCAAAATATATTTATATATTTTTAAAAATCAAATTAGTTTCACTTTTATTTTTTTATTATTTTTTTTTTAGACATATGGAGCCCTTTGATTGTCCGTGGCAACCGGAATTCGCAGGGATTTCAGGGCCAACATGGCGGATTAATTTCAGTCCAAAAGTCTGCCGTTATGTTTCCATTTTTCTTCTTCAGGTGTTTCACCACCATGAACTCTCTACATGAAAAGAAGATTTTTTTTAATGTTCAATTTAAAAAAATGATTTTAAAAATATTTAAAGAAAAATTTTTTTTTTAAATTCTTACCATGTTATTAATATTATTATTTCAGACGATTGGCCTACATTTTGGACAATTCCTAGCCAGTTTTGGTCGCACATCTGGCACATTCATATTGGTGTATTTTTTTAGAAATGTGGTGGGGGCAGGGAAGGGGTGGTGGGGGTATTCCAGCCCCGTGGTGAATCTCTCATTTGAAACTAAATAGCACCGGTTTAAGTCATATTAATTTCTTGTGGTATTGGTACGCTCTAGCGTTTCGTTTGGGTTTGAAATTATATCATCTCCCTTCTTCACAGGGGCTATAACTGTGAGATCGGCGTGGCCGTCATGCCGTCAGGAAAATGCTTTCACGCCGACGAGATGGAGAAGGGGTGGGGCAGGGGCTACGCGCGCCTCGCCTTCGATCTTGCCAGCATCCTCAAGAGAAACAACCTAACCTCAGACTTGGTCACTCTCCTTAAAGCGATTTGCATTGTGTCCCCTGACAGGTGGGTAAACCACAAACTCAAAGTGTTAGAGAGTTCAAAAGTGAAACATGATTTCATTGGTCTGTACGCCCCACAAATTTGAAACATTATCAAAGCTAATGTTTGCAGTTGTTTAATAGTTTGCATTTTTTATTTAAATGTCTGGTTCATCAACTTGCAAATCTTTTATTAAAGTACCGGTAAATTTGTTTTATAAAATCAAATCGTTGTATTTAATTTGTTTAATTTGTGTTCAGATTTACTCCAGCAATTGCTATTTAATTGACAATGGTACTTCTTTTTTAATTTAATTAAAAATTGTATTGATTGAATGCAAACAATACAAATACCAGTAAGATAAACTTCAATACCTTTATTTTTTAAAAGACATTTATTTTGACATAATAATAATAATAACATTTTTTCTTCAATAAAGTGTGGCCTTACTTACTTTTAATTATTGTAAGTCATTCATACTCTTTATTTTAAAAAAACATTGAAATTTTGTTTTTAAAAATATAAATTATATTTTATTTTTGCTTTATTTTTATTTGTTGGGGTGGGCGTGAGTTTGATGCCATTTTCTCCATGAGGGGAATGCCCCCTCCCCCTCCCTCTGAGCGCTGCCTGAAAGAAATACTGCATTTGATTATGTCTCATTTTTCTATATATCTTACTAAGTACTTCGAAATTCAATTGTTATACCGGTACCTTCATTTTGTAATATTTAAATACAACTAATAGAATAGATCCTTTCGGGTTTGCGTTTGTTATTCAGTCTTCTTTCAATTGCACCGCATCACCAATAATAATTCTCTAGGTATGTCTGCGTGTAACGCCGTGTTCAAAAGGCGCGCAAAATAAAATTCCCAGAAATTAGCACTAATCACTAATTGGGATTCTTATAAAGTGCGTCACTTATATTCGAATGCATGTTTTGTTCAGTGGTGTAAGTGTAACTTAAGTTCAGGAGTAGATGGGAAGTTCATACATTTGCCACCCCATTGGTCCGTGGGTTCTTTCCAGCATTGTAATAAAACGTAACCATTACATTCTATGACACGCTTCCGTTCAGGTGTGACCTGGTCAACACAAGAGAGGTGGAAGACATGCAGTGGACGCTGGTGGCCTGCTTGTTACATCACGTGGAGGCGACTCACCCCAGTGACAGGACCGCTTTCCCGAGACTCATCTCTATACTGACGTCACTCAGAGAGCTTAGCGAATCGGCACAAAGCACCATGGACAGTGCCAGCGTTGGAGCCGTGTTTGGGTGTAACATTGTGTCTGATATTTTCGCACCATTTTAGAATACTCCTTGTAATGTTCCCACTCATTTTCATCATGAAATTCGTTTTTTTTTAAAAATTGATAATGTGGAGAATATTCATGTTACATTTCAACTCAACGTTGTTGAGTCAGAGTTTGGGAAACAATGGTGCTATACAATACAAGAGACTTGAATTTGAATATTAAATCTGCGACATACGGTGAATGATGGCTCACTTTAATTACAAGAGGTGCTTCCCGTACTGGACACAACTCACAGTGACCACACGGGAGACATCTCACTATAACCGATCAGCACAGAATCTCAACTTTTTGAAAGATGGAGCCCTAATTTCGGTGAGGTGGTTCAAGTTAAATTGTATTTTGAGAATAGATTCAGGACTTCTGAAATATAATCAAGGACCGTAAAAACCACTGGATTCGACATCAAAAGTATGACGTCACCTGTCAAAAGTTGTCCATCGCCAAGTGGGATATTTTATCTGGATCCTTACTGTATGAAATAAGCATGTTAAGTTATTTTATTCCTGAGCTCAATTGTAATCCCATTTTTATAAAAAAAACAACTCCACATGCTCTGTGTGGCGATTCCTTACAATGGTTGAAAAGAAACGAATTAAACTCATTTTTATTGTATAAAATCTTTAAGCATCAGACTTGATTCAAGTGGTATTGAGAATTCATTTTGTTATTTTACAATTAGTTCTGGGATTGTTTTTAAACACATGGCATCAAAATAACAGTAACATTGGCGCCCAGACAACTCCAAGCTACACTACCAACATATAGAAGATCCATCTCATATTTCCTTAAGTCCTGATGGAAGATGGCCCATAATTTTATTTAATGTAGGGGCCACCCAGAATTGTGGATTGCTAATAGAACTATGTATATTTGGGGCACTGCATGAAAATGTTGGCATACCAACAGATTTGCCAAATGACATTTTGACAAAGATTATCAAACATATTTTAAAAAAACAACACAAATGGTATAAACTGGTTCTGAAGAGAAATCAAGAAATGTCAAAATCACAAGAAATGCTTTCAGTCAAATTTTATTTTCGTCAAAAATTAAGTATTAAGAGTATTTCAGTTACAAATCATTTTTTTCATTGCTGTGTTCATGACAAATATTTAAATGACACTATTTCAGTTCAACATTTTCAGGGTATTAAATTTCTTTAAATGAAAGCAATAAAAAAAAAAAAAAACAATTAAGTGAGACAAACCCTCAAACACACAGGTACACTGGATTAACATGTAATGGGGGAAAAAAATGCATTTTTTTTTATTTCAGCCATTTCTAGCAAGTGGAAATGTTTTCTTTCTGAATCCAGGAGGGTTATTACAAGACAGACGAATAAGGGCCGTAACCTTTAAAGAATTCACTTTCATAAGTTGCACGAGTCGGTAGGGGAAAAAAGGGAAAATTGGGAGATTTAAACAATGGTATCTTTGTAGGCCAATTCCCATGGTTATTATTCCAAGAATTTTTGTTGTTCTCCTTTTTGGTCAATTTGTTTCCTTATGGACTCCCCCTATTAACCTCAGCTATTTAAAAGTGTTCTTTAAACTCTCGGTATGGCCCCGTGACAAACAGATTGAATACAATCACACATGCATCACATACAATGGCAAACTTAAAAACATTTTTGTTTCTGTAAAGCCAAAAACAATCACAACACTTTACAAGCTTCCTCAATTTGGTGAGCCAAATATCTTTTGGGTTAATTTTCAAGCAGGACACGTTTACGGAAGCTGAGATTTAAAAACTATGCATCACCAACTTTCATTTAAGAAAAAAAAAAAAAAAAAAAAAAAAAAATAACAAAAAAAAAAAAAAAAAAAAAAAAAAGAAAGACAAAAAAAAAAAAAAAAAAAAAAACAACAACAACTAACACTTAAAAAAAAAAAAAAAAAAAAAAAAGAACAAGTTCCAAAAAAAAAAAAAAAGAGCCATATGGGCAGAAGTAAATAAAACAGATCTGACATGTTTCATCAGACTTCAGCAGCCACCAACCATTCACACCTCAACAAAGAAACATCAATAGGCTTAGTTCGCCCAAACAACTTGGTGGGCAAGTTAACTATTATTCATCAGTTAACAAGCAGCTTTTCAACACTGTTCACATTTTGTTTTCATAATTAGAACTAATGTCGAAGAGTTTGACAAATCACTGACTAGGCATCATGAGATGCTCAGTGAGTACATGACCAGACCACATGAGCCGACTCAGGACGCCAGGCGTCAGGATTCCGTCTCATTAAATTGGTCATGTTATTTTATTCCTTCTGTTATTTCATGACCAATAACTTCATCTTCTAATCGCTCAAGGTCCAAGGTGTTCTATTTCAACAGGCTCAAATAGACATCTACAACTGAGATGGATCTCCAGAGCTTTTTCTAAAATAACAACTTGACGTATTGACTTATGGGATCCGTAAAATTCACAATAATCCATAAAAAATGTATCCAAGCCATTAAAAACCTCTAAAATAATAATTTGTTAACACTAGTCATGAGCTTTTCTAAAGACATTTGATTTTTTGGGGGGCTGTTATCTGCACCATTCGTTCAAAATGTGTTTGACACCATGGTTAACACCTTTTGTAATGGATATGCTAACTATAAAATTGAAGTGAATGATACTTAACCAAACTTGTATACTTTTAACAGCATTCTTATTTTTATTTTTTTTTAAAACACACAAAAAAAAAAAATTCCAAAAAAACCCCCTGAATTTTTAAAGGTTGTAGTGTTGCAATTTTTCCCCACCCCACTTTGCTCATTGACAGTGTAATGATATTGGAACAATTTCTGGTCATGAGTCCAATAACTGGCAATCAGTTTTCATGAGTTCTAAATCAACTTCGCAAACACTATAGTTATCATAAGGGAGAAATCATACCATGTTTTTGTCCAGCATTACTGCAATAGTGTTCAAAATGGAAGCATCAATAACATGGGATTTTTAGTCTGCTTCTCAAATTCAATAAAACAATATTGTATGGTAAAGAAAGAACTTAGATCTAAACAAGAAATGTAGTGGTCAAAGTTCATATTTGCTTGTGTAAGTCATAACCATTAGCCAGCCACATAAACTGTCAAAAAAACTCTATTCTATAACCTTTAAAAGCTTTTAAGTAGATATCGGTGCAACTTAACACCCTCTATTGGTACACAGCCCATCTCGGCAATGACTTGTACAGAAAAACTGTTCACACGTGTACAGCCCAGCCCGTCTTGGCAAGACATGTACAGAATAACTGTGTTGACAAGTGCCTAGCCCATCTTGGCAATGACCTGTACAGAATTTTTGTGATGACAATCAGGAGAAAGCCTAACTTTCCTCATCTTTTAAAACACATTTTCCTATTGGGGCAGAAAATGTACATCAACTGCTTATAAGATGTACCATTGCATCAATTAACTAATCCTTACCAAGCAAAGTCACTGCTATATCAATACCATTGAATTTTATATTTAAGAGGAAGACTTTTTTTTATAACTGCTTTTCTTAGCTTCATGTAATAAAACCATATGTTACTGTCTTCAAAAAAAAAATATGAAAGGATAATGTATTACAGGTAGACCTAACAAAAAACTTAGTCTTTAAAGCTTGACTATATAAAAAGCCAATGCTGAAAGACTTGCAGTAACAACATGTGGCAATTATTAAAATTCGACTCGCTGAGGACTATTAATTTTGCTTGTTAATTTTACAAATTTCCTCATGGCTTAGCAATCTTCAAAAAAAAAAATTACATGTCTTATTAACATATTCACATAATAAACAAAAATGAGATGATCCAACAATGACAAACCAGTTCTAAATCCACTATCAGACAAATACGAAATTCAGGACTTCTTGACCAATGCCAAGCTGTCTTAAGCTTTCTAGGATTTATGATGTAGTGAAAGCGTTTCCCCACAGATCACACCAACTGCTAGAGCCTATTAAAACAATTCTGCTGACAAATGTTTGTAAAATGACACGCAACCATTACATAAACATTCATTCCAAAGGCACTGATGGAAATCTTGAGCAGCTTGGCAATGCAAGAAGTACTTCAAAATGTTTTACACAGCAGACCTGACTTTGGATTTCATTTTCTTTCCTTTCTGGCATCTAAGCATTTCTCTTACAAGCTTCATACAGCAAAATCAAAGCAAAAATACATTACAGGTTTATGTTTAAACTTCAGGTTTTGATCTTGGCTGCATTAGCTCAGTATTTATTTGGCATTACTGGTAAAAATGAAGCAACTTTTTACTTGTTCTCAACAATTTTTATGCGTGGCTTACAATGTGGAACATGTCAAACTTGCTTCATCATTACTAATAAATGAGGGTAGCTTCCTAAACAAATTTCATTTCAAGTTCAAGCAGTCTCATCAAATTAACAGAAAACAGAAAATTAGCAGAAAATGGTATATAACTTGTTGGTCAACAAACAGATCCTATCAAGTGCAGGAATTTCTACCCTGAGCCCACAACCTACATCATCTCTACTCACTGTATGGAAAGAGGGGAAAAAGAATGAGATAATGCCAAGATTATTTTGCGATGGCTATGCAATCAATTCAGGTTTTGACAAATAATGACAATTTTATTAGTGAACACATTAAAATGAAGAAGAAAAAAAAATATGTTGCAATCAGTATGAAAAAAGGATCCCACTTAATGTGTTCACATATTTGTCAACCGCTCTCATGGAAGGTCATACATTCACATTTAAAACAAAGAGTTTTGTCACCAGAGGGTAACAAGCTGTAGCCAATTCACAAAATATTTCTTTATTTACAACATAAGAGGTGGACAAACCTGGTCATTTATTAGATTGTTTCTTTTTAAATATTTCAATGTGAATTTGTCACATCCCCAACTTGTTTTGTACATGGACTTATTCAACTATGAGCTCTTTGCAGTGCTTTAGTACAGTGCCTTTCATACATCTAATATATTGAATCACACATCTCAAGATCATTTTTTAAAACTGCTTTGTCAGCACTGTTAAATTTATCCTCAAACAGTGAGAAGTACATTATCTGTCATGATATGATACATATGAGAATACTGATGACAACATCTACCCAGAGTCTGAACAAAAAAACAACCCAAAATGATTTGATACCAACATGCTATTGTAAATTATCTTTTAAATTTAACTTACACTTTGCTAGCATCCCTAACAATAGCCAAAAAACTATTATAATAAAATGATCAATTACTTTAAAAAAGGTTAACAACTGCTCTGCTCCGGTACCATAACCTCACTTATTGCCAATTTATTTATGCACGCAAATAAAATTTCTGAAACCAATTTTCCCCAACTTGCTGTAGTTTTTTTGTCAGACCTATAGGGTGAATGAATTAATTTGACCTACAAAAGTATGCTCACAAAATATGTTAACAGTACAAAAATAAATAAACTACATAGTGGTATAAGACTGGGTATGTTTTGACATTAATAAGCAGCTTTAAACGTATTCCCCGACATAAAAATAATAGAATGGTTTCCTCCTAAGTACCCAGTTGACTATTGCCTCAGATTTGTATTCAACTTCAATAGCTACAATTGAATAGAGAAAAAATTTGAAATAATTTTTGCTTCTCTACTTAAATAAATATAAAATAAATATAAAAGTTAGGGAAAAAAATCTCGCTTTCTAATTAATGTAAAGAACAATTTTCAAGTGTTGACCATTAAAAAAAAAACTTTCACAATGCAATAAATACAGTTACAGCAATTCTTCACTCTTCCCATACAAAAAGATTTGCTTTAAAACTGAAGCAAAGAAACTACATTTTGTATGAAAACAATAAGAATGTTCTGTACTGCACTGCACCTGAGACTATTTTACTGAAAAGACATAGAGAGAAAAAGAAATAGACAATTTTTGATGACATAAACATATGGTAAATTATAAGCAATCGTCTCTATCTAAGAGACAATGGTCACAAAATGTATTTTTGTGTTAAATTTGCTAGTACACATATATATCTTATTTACATCAACAGGTTGAAACATTGTGGGGTGGGGGGAGAGGAAAGAAATAAAAGAATACCAACCAACAACACTAATAATAAAATTAAGATACAATGCAGTGTAAAAATAACATTTAGGTAATTTCAACAGTTATCAGGAAAACAGCCAACATGGCACATGCATATTCTAAACAAAGTACACACCAAGACTTACACATTTCTCACAAAGTGCCCCCAATGATTAAAGATAATAGCATCGAGGAATCAGTCACTTTTACTCATGGCATTCAATGCTTCATTCTATGCTCTTATATCTTTAAGTAATCAGGCATGCATCTAATCACCTTCACTCACTTATACCAGCTCTTAAAAAAAAAATGAAATGAAGATGTTACATCCTAAATCCATGTAGTTGCTTTGATCACATCAATCCACACAAACTTGTGTAGCCCTCAATTCTAGTCCATTATCAGTTATTAAAACGAGCTTATTTAGGTTATTGCTTAATAACATAAAAGCCTTCTTGCATTAAGAATAATAAGCCTCTAGGAATCTGTATAATTTAAGGACTATAAATAAAATATTAGGATTTACTTCACAAATCCAGTTCTGTATCACAAATGGAAAAAAAAAAAAAAAAGGATTGGGTACTCTTAGTAGGAAACTTAAAATAGAATGCGTCGTCCTTGTGCAGCAAGAGAAATGGGATGAAGAAACCCCCAATGAACATTTGAATTCCCAACACACATCCGGCACTCAATCACTTAAAATAACCGTTATCTTTCTAAATAAACAATAAATGTCTCTGTTATCGAAGCCAATCATAACTCCTGATCTAATGCACTGTCTTTGGCTTATTTTTTGGTCACAATCTATTTAACCTGTTGGAGCACTTTAAATGCTACCAACAGGTAACAGGTGTTATTTACACCAAAATTCAGCAGTTGTCAAAGCCAAAAAATATCAACAGTATTGTTTGATACAAGAGCGATTTTCAGCAACAAAATTGTCTACCTCTTCTCTCTCTCTAATCACATTCAATAATCCATCCAACAACTGAATCAAGAAGTCATCAGATTGCATGAGTTTAACATTTCCATGGCCATATTTTGACACACAAACTCCACTTGTTGAATTAGATGTCACTGCTTCAATATTAAGAATTTAAGTAAGAACTTATTTCATGAAATGAAATAGTGTAATCCCTTAGCGTTGTCTCACAATAGATTTTTAAAAATAGTTTAACAAAACTTCTTACTTTCCTTAACATTCAACAGTGCAAAACAATATTCAAGGAGATTTTTGTTGTTGCTCCTGTGAGTACCACATTATTTAAATGCTTGTAAATCTTAATAGCCTTAAAATTTGGATAAAAACTATTAAATTCAAACAAATCTAACAACTCCACAAAATCCATTGCTGGAGGTATTCCAGTCCACACAAAACCAATGACCAGTTATTAGAATAGAACTGTGGCCAGCCTACTCTTGCTAGATAAACTAGCTTTCCGGCCAAACCAAAAGATGGGCTTATTATAATTAATTTAACGTGAAGCAATGATCGGAAATGCTGCCTTTGTGAGTCAGAATGTCTTAAGCATGAGCCACAAGGTCAACTGGTTGAGTTGAATGAGCCCATAAGGGTAGTCAGTTTATTAATGCCTCCTGGAATTAACTTTAATCACTTTAAACAGAGGTGGCTGTTGCCGTCTTGTAAAGCTGATCCATTCAAAGCGATATGTAAAGTCACAATCTCTGCACCACATCATGGATTTATCTTGTTCACATGAAATGCTGAAACAAAAGTCAGTGCACAGCCCTTAATATTTTGTTTAGTACTTCAGCTATCAAATTTGTGCACCGTTGATCACATTTTTGAGGTGATGCACTACACAATTAAACCCAAGTGAAGCTCCGCTCATCCAAGTGAAGCTCCAATTCATTTTCCTCCAAGTGAAGCTCCGATTCATTTTCCTTTAAGTGAGAGACTTCCCAAGCGTTGTTTGAAAAAATAAATTTTCAATCACACACATTTGTGTAGATGCCGTCAATTTCATCCAAGGCACTAGATCTGAGACAATATGGCCATGAACAGAATTGTAGCTGAGGTCATGAAAAATTTGTGTGGACGAAAATACATTAACTTTCAAATATGAATCCTCAAATGATCTCACACACTTTGGTGCAGATTGAAGTTATGTCTAGAATCACTGGCACTTGTCTTTTTTTTTGGGGCTTAGAGTGCAGAATAAATGTAATAAACACCACTTCAGGATCATCTTGCAATTACCAGTTTTGTGTTTCATACACCTTATTAAATTTTGCTTTAAAAAAACATTCTATCCAAGATAGTATGAAAAAATGATGAGCAATGGTACGGTCAAAACAATTCTGAATCACCAAGGACACTCATTCACAGATGAAAAAAAAAAGTTGATTCACACTTGTAGTAGCTTTCACAAATTGAGAAAACGTGCTATCTCATATCACACAACCTAGAAAACTGTTGAAAATCCAGAAATAATTATGCAAACACTGCAGTTGTGATGCCTTTTTCAAAACTTGTCTTCTTTTTTTTTTTTAAAACTAAGCAACAGTTTGCTGTTGGTGTGGCGGTGGTCCCCTTGAAGCTTGCTGGTGACTACTATTGGCACGTTGCTGCATTTGTTGGTTATGCTGCATCTGTTGCTGTCTGTAGAAATCTTCCTCCATGTCTGGATCAATTTGTTGAGCTTCAGCAACATACAAGGACGGGTCAATGGTTTTGGGAATTGGCTTAATCTCTGTACCCAATTCTTGCTCAATTTTGTGCAAGGCAAACCTGTAGTGAGAAATTTTTATTACGATTGGTTAGCGTATACTGGTACAATCATTAACTTGTTAAATATTTTAGAGTGGTCTTTCAGACTGTATTTTTTGTCAGATGTAATTTTTAAAAAAATCAACTAATGCTTTTTAGAAAATTTAATACATAAGTGAATTGTTAATTTATGTAATGAAAAATAACTTCACAAGATTTTAAAAAATCATTTTACATATTTACAAATTGATCCAAAATAGGAGCCAAAATGATCAATAAATTGATCGTGGGCCCTTAAGATATAGAAGAAGAAGAAGAAATTGCTCTGGTGGTAAATAAATATTTAAAAATCATAACTTGACAATGGCAATAAAAATCCAATTATATTGCGCACAGCCTCAAAATCTTTTAAGACGTTATTCAATAACAGTATAAAAAAACTTTAGGCTGGAGTAAAGTTTAAAAAAAATATGCTAAGTTTTTTAAATGAGAGTTCCTAATACATCATGCCACAAACCATACCAACGATGATAACTGAGCTTAACTTTTGCATACAAAATGTAAATATGGATGCATGTACCTGTCATCGTAGGTGATCAGGTTGATGGCTACACCAAGATGACCATATCTTCCAGATCTGCCAATCCTGTGAAGATAGGTTTCTGAATGCTTTGGGAAATCAAAGTTGATGACAACATTGACGGCCTGAATATCAATACCTCTAGTAAACAGATCTGGAATATAAGAAAAATTTATAAAATATAAATCCAAAAGAATCCATCTATTCATAACTATATTTTAATTTTTTATCTATTGTAACATTATGATAGGTGATGTTCAAGTCATTGTAGTGATACATACATATTATAAAGAGTGGGGAATTACTTGAGAGGCCACATTGTAGTGGCTGGAAAAGCGGTTAGGAAGATTTTGTCTCATGAGTGAAGAAAGATAGAACATATGAGCAACTTCACTTTAATGTCTAAAATGAGGTGGATGTTTTATGAACTGTATCATCATTCCAATATTCATCATGTCAATATTATTCTGTATAGTGCTTATATAAATGAACTGATATGTGAAGACTTGAACTTCATGTATTAACACTGTTACGTGAGAAATAATTAGTAATTAACCCCTATCTGATATTCACTAAGATATCCGTTCAGGTTAAGACAAGCTATAATAGTAACAGTTTTTTAATTCGATTTTTGAACCAGTAAACTAATTATCTCATGCACAAGTGGACGCTCAAAATAAAGCAAACAAAAAACTATATGAATTTTCCAACTACAAACCTGAGCACACTAAATTTCTACAAAGTCCCTTTCTGAAGTCGTGGAACACACGGTTACGATGCTGTTGGTTCATCTTAGCATGAATGTAATAACAAGAGTAGCCCAGCTCTGTAATTTTCTTCGCCAGTAGCTCAACACGCTGAGTTGAGTTGCAGAAAATAATAGACTGGTTGATTTGTAACTGCAAAGAAAATGGCAACAATAGGAAATGGCTGAGAGTAAGTGTTGCAACAAGAAATCTTTCAGAAAAAAAAAACATTATCTACCGGTACTAAATTTATCAATTTAAAGAAAACTTTAAAATGTTGAAATAGTTGTTGCAACAAGAAATCTTTCAGAAAAAAAAACATGATTATCTACTAAATTTATCAATTTAAAGAAAACTTTAAAATGTTTAAATACACAAGGCAAATACAAAGGTACCCTTATGGGAAAAGACCTGATATACCTAGCAATGAACGAAATCAAAATATTTCTATGAAAGAATAAATCCTAAAGATAGTCCTAGTTCAGACGTTATTAGTTTGAATTATGTTTCACATGCTGCAGAAGAAAAAAAGTGCTAAAAAAGAATGTTTCAAATACAATACCTTAGAGAAAAGAGTGTTGAGACAATGTACTTTCTGTTTCTCCTGGACAAAAGCATAGTACTGGGTTACTCCCTTCAATGTCAGCTCCTCCATAAGATTAATTTCATAGGGATTTTTTAAGTGTTTTCTCTGTAAAATAGAAAAATAAAAACATCAAACAAGGACACAAAGTAAAACAATCACAAAGAGTTACAAAAGTATAGACTGTGCAAGCCATCAGAAGGACTCATCATTCATGTGCTTCAGAAGCAGAACTGGATAAGCTATTTTATCATCATCAAAAGTGCACAGAAATATTGACGGCTTTTGAATGTAACACATGATAATGCGTGACTGTAGATATAATTAATTTAAAAAGATGATGATGCTACTCCCTGCACATGGACTTCAATAATAATAGCATAACATTTTTAAATACCTTAGTAAAAATATTGAAACTATTTAATGCTTATTGAAATGTAACCCTTTTTTAAAAACAACTTATGCATTTAAGAAACATTTGGTCCATTTGTTTAAATTGATTGATTATCCGGCCCGCGCTCGTCATTTTTTCCCATTTTCTAGCTCTCCGTAAAAAAAGTTTGGTGACACCTGCATTACATGAACATTGCGAAATGCCAGTGAAATATTTATTAAAAGAAATTTTATTAGTAGAAACAAAGGGTGTTATCAGCACAAGATACAAATGACTTAAAACATTGTGTTTAGATATGTGCACTCAGTCTAAATTATTTCACTTGACATTTATGCTTTTTTTTAACTTCTAATATAAAACCTAACAAAGTAGCCTTTGATTAAGATAGTAAAATTGAACTCAGGTTGAACAATTTCACTTAACCTAAAAACCTATGTGTGTGTTATCAGAAATACTCATCACTCAAATAATTCAGAAGCAGAACTGGATGTGTTTTTTTCATCATTAACATACACTTGAAATATCACCATGATTAAAATAATGGTCCATTTACTAATAAAATTAGCAATACTAATAGTGCAGAACTATTTTTTTTTCTAAATCAAGAAACCCCACTAACATAAGTTACATATCTTAAGTTGGAATATTCTAAGTTGCTAAGTTCCTTATTTATATGGGTGATGTAACACAAAGACCCTTAGTCCTGTATTTAAAAATTAAATTAAGCACTCATTTCAAAAATCCCTCTAACCAAATAATAATTAAATCTCTTAAGTTGGAATTTCCTACAAAGTGTGTGTTATCAGAAATACTCATCACTCAAATAATTCAGAAGCAGAACTGGATATTGTTTTTTCATCATCAACATACACTTGAAATATCACCATCACTAAAATAGTTGTCTATTTTTCTTATAAATTAGCAATAATAATAGTGTAGAAAATTCTTTTTCTAAATCAAGAAACCCCACCAACATAATAGATATAAGAGTTGAAATATTCTAGGTTGTTAGGTTCCTTTTGTATATGAGGGATATAACACTAAAACCAGGGGTTCTCTACCTGTGTGTCGCAACCCCTTTGGGGGTCAAATGACCCTTTCACAGGGTTCACATAAGATCATTGGAAAACGCATATACTAGACAGTTATGAAGTAGCAATGAAAACAATTTTGAGGTTGGGGGTCGCCACAACATGAAGAGTATTAAAGGTTGGCGGCATTAGGACGGTTGAGAACCACTGACTAAGACCCTTAGCACTAGATTTAAAATAAAATTTAACATAACTCTTGTTTGAAAAATCCCTCTACCTAGTAATAATTAAACGTCTAAAGTTGGAATCTCCTAAAAAGTGTGTGTTATCAGAAATACTTGTCACTCAAATAATTCAGAAGCAGAACTGGATATGGTATTTTCATCATCAACATACACTTGAAATACTAAATCCCTTAACTGTTTATTTTGAACCATTATAAAGTGAATACCGGTACCTAAAAACATAAATTAGCAATATTGTCCAGAACAGAATTATTTAATTTTTTTTTAAACTAAATATAACCCTACAATCTAGAAATCCCCCTATCCAAATAGTAATTAAATATCTTAACATGAAATCATCTAGGTTGTCTTATCCCTCACTATTTAGAATCAGAACTTTTCATCTTTAACAGAAACATAGAACACCATTTTTTAAAAATTGAAAGCACCGACCTTTAACAGAATGATAGTGCAATAAAAATTAAAAACCAACCCCAACTTATAAAAATCATTTTAAACTAAAAAAAAATTGCTCAAGGGAATAAAAAGGAGTGGAATTAAAAGATGTTATTGTTTTCTTTAAACTGATGTTATCAGAAGTACTTCTCATTCATATATGTCAGAAGCAGAACTGAAAAGTTTTTCATCATGAACAAACATTTTTTTCACATTAAATGTTTAAAAAGTCTTGTTACCTTTTATTTTTTTTTCTTAAACCCATTACATTATTTTACAATGAGTAATAGTTTAAAGTCTAACTGCAGATTACTATGCAAGATCTTTATAATATATATATATATATATATATATATATATATATATATATATATATATATATATTTTATTAATTTTTATTTTAAAGATCTTTATAATATATATATATATATATATATATATATATATATATATATATATATATATAATTAATGAATTCATCTTGTCCTAAATGACGTACAGAACAAAATTTTGGACTTTCAAAATTATATTAATGAGCATTATGGTTTTATATGGCAACCTGTAAAACAGGAAGTAGGATGGCTGGATTTAATCACAAGATTGATTAGTTATAGTTATTCAAATCCAGCCTAAAATGATACAGAGGGTAAGACTCTTTTCACTTTCTCTTCAAAATCCGTTCTCAAATAGATAAAATGATATGTAATAAAATAGCTGAAGTTACATCTTAACTCAAAATTTGTAAGTCATCAGAAGCACTGGTCACTCATACAATTCAGAAGCAGAACTGGTTAAGGATTTGTTTCATCATTGACTTACAAATGCATGTTCTTTTAAATCATAACTGAAACTCTTTCAATTCAAAAGCTGGGTTTTAACTTATTCAGACAGCATTGCAACCTCCTTACTTAATTTATATTCCTGGAAAAGGTAAGTAAATCCGTTTTGCAATTAATATATATATCTGTAAAATATTCTTTTAAGCTGTTGAATAGTAATTTTAATGAACTAAATGCGTCCAGAAATGAACAAGGTTTAAAAAATATATAACACTAAAGACAAACTAATAACTAGCGATGACCAAAAATTGACTTTTGGCTCATCGGATGAACACATGCTAGATACAGTCGCTGCGTATTAAAGCACATATAGATTTAAAGTGAAACAAGATTTAAAAAACTTCCTTCCCGTTTTTAATTGAAATCACTCAATCATCATCAGTCTCAAAGGGACACATGATTTCACTGCTATTTTTAAATTTAAAAAAAAACAAAAAAAACACCAACTTATAAGTCATTTAAAAAAAAAAAAAAAAAAAAAATAAAAAAAAAAAAAAAAAAACAACAACATAAAAGTCATTAAAAAAAAAAAAAAAAAAAAAAAACTAAATGAAATGAAAAGGTGTGAAATTGTATTTAGAACCCCAAATGACAGATTTAGTCGCAAACGGGAATGAATTAAGCTTGAAAAAATTTCTGAATCATTTTCTCAAAAGTACAGATCTTAAAATAATTGAAAGCAAATTTCTACAAGCAATATTTGTCAAAGAATGACTTAATTTTTTATTTTATTTTGAACTGGAAATTTTCACAAGCAAATCAAAATGTGATTCAGTTTTTAATATAAACAAATAAAAATAACTTTATAAAATTGAAATGATAATATTTGACACCCACCATAAAAGCCTCAACTGTGAGAGGGAATGTAGCAGAATACAGCATAATCTGTCTGTCTTTGGGTAAGTGGCCAATGATGCTGTCAAGCATGCCCTTAAAATCCTGAGATAATAGTTTGTCAGCCTGAGAAGAGAAAATATGAGATATTAAATTAAAGTGTGGTTTCAGGGTCTGGAAACAATCAGGAACAGATTTAACCAACTGCCACCCTAAATGGATGTAAGGAAGACCATCAGTAGCATTTCAATTGGGTTTAGCAGCCCATTCATGAAAAAACACATCAAATGCAACAAAAATCCTTTACAACCAACAAAAGTTGTCCCTCCTCAAAAAGGTAGATTTAAAAATAGGGTGTAAGACATTTCCGTTAAACTAAAAAGATAGTCCTACAAACATCAGGGTAGGCACAGAAAACTCAACTTAAAGAACAATGTAGGAAAACAAGAAAGGCAAACCATGCGATACCAGGAGACTGGGCCTCAAGAGACAGAGAGAAGCTGGAATGAGACGGATAGCATAGCTCAGAACAGAGCTGATGAAAAGAAATATGAATCACTAAAGCAGATAAGATTATAAAGTGATTATAATTAATTATTTTACAAGATAAATTTAACAATATATCTAAATTTTAAATAAGTTTATATTAAATACACTCAACCAATTTGCTTTATGTCCTAATAAGCAAAGGATGTCTTATATTAAATATTTCCTTACCTCATCCAAAATGAGGGTTCCACAGTTTTGTATTTTGACTAGATTTTTATTCATCAAGTCAAGTATACGACCAGGAGTGGCAATAATTACATGAACTGAAAAATATGTTAATTCATTCTCAGCCACTCATTTTTAAGATTCATGAAAAAGTTAAGAAAACAATGTACTCTGCAAAACAATATGTGATAAATTTTTTAAAATGATCCAAAGAGGTGTTAAAATCTTTAAAGGAAGTATGTGTTCATATGTTGAACAAAGTAACTAAGACTATAACCAAACTAAAATGTTTTAAATACCATTCAAGTAAAAAGAAATAACGATTACTTTTAATTACAACATTTAGTTTCCATTAAAAATGATGATTAAAATGATTATCTTATCATTAAAATGATTATCTTATCTAGTTAACTCACCAGGCTCTGTAAGCCTCATAATATCATCCTTGAGGTTAGTGCCTCCAGTTGTGACCATGCAGCGGCATCCTATGTGCTTGCTGAGCTCAATGCAAATCTGACTAGTCTGTAGGGCAAGTTCTCGAGTCGGTACTATGATAAGTGCTGAAAATTTGACATACTAATCAAGATTAAAATACTTAAACTAAATACTTTCACTATACTGACTACAACACTTAATAAATGCCTGAAGAATGTATAATGCATTGGAATTACATAATAATACGGTAATGCTTATTAATAATGAAATGCATTAATACAATAATTCGCAACCCTTCAGCAATTAATATTGCTATCTTAAAGAAAGACAACAAAACAAAAAAACGAATCTTCCTACTGCCATAACAGTTAATTGACATATAAAGAAATAAAAATTTAACCTTGTACTAAGTCTTTGGAGGAATCAACTTTTTCAAGGCAAGGTATGGCATATGCCCCAGTCTTGCCAGTTCCATTCTTTGCACGTGCCAAAATGTCTCGGCCTGTGAGAGCTATGGGAATACTGGCCTCTTGAATTGGAGATGGCTTTTCCCAGCCTTTTTCAAATATTCCCATTAATAGATCTCGTTTCAAGCAGAAATCTTCAAATTCATTGCCTTTTGTATTTGTGACATCCTAGGAAAAACAAACAAAAATAGTCATAGGGGTTTCATGAACTTACAAATCCATTTAAATACAAATTAACTTAAATGTAATGCAGGACATGTTTTTGTGTTTTTAAATTCACATAACAGGTCATTTCATTTGGATTTGATTTTAAGCGTGAAATCACTTGCACTTAATGGGAGTAAAATAATGTGGGAAAACTTTAGAATACGGTATAACTTTTTAATTTTAAAAAATACTGGTACTTACTGAAGTTCTAACTCTATGGTCCGGAGCTGGTAAATTAAGTTTTGACTTCCATCCTTGCTCACTAAACCAAACAAAAAAAAGATCCCAATGAGAAATTTGGGGAGGTGAGTTAGCATGATTTTCCTCACACAAAAAGAACACACAATAGTTCAATGTGTGAGTTGCTGAACACATGGAAAAATATCATATTAATTTTCAATTTGCCAACTGTACAATTTAATCAGATAATGTTTTAAGACTTATGCTTCCTCAGTAATACTTCTGTTAATTTCATATAATGTTATGTCTCAATGCTGTAGACTACAGAACAAATTAGTAATTTTTCCAAATTAGTTGCTTTGGAAAAGAAACATGACATGCTTGAACTATTTCTATTAAAAACATTCATTTTAGATTATGTTTTTGCTCTATTTCCAACTCTATTAGATACACACAAAAAAAAATTAAAATATGAATGCCTGGAGTTATGCCTTTATTAATAATTATCCATATAACACATCCCAGAGTTGTAATGCTATAGAAATTACAAAGATGGTTTTAATAAGTCATTTCATTAAAATTAAATTCCAGTGCTAGTATCTTTATAACTGCATTTATTATTTAATCTAACATAACCTGTAAATACTTGTTAGACGTGCCCTCTGTTTAATAAAATAATCTATCTAACTATAAGCTTTCTATATAATACATGGCCTATTTTTCAAAATCACTAAAGAACATTTAAGACTTACTTTGAAGTATCGTTTTGTCTCATTTCCTCCTTTGCCATGATGAATGAATGCACTTGACTTTTTAATGAATTGACAGGCAAAACTGACTTCACAATTATAAATTAATAATAATAAAAAAAAAAAGGAAAAAAAAAAGAAAAAAAAAGAAGCAAAAAAAAAAAAAACAAATTTAAAAATAAAATAATTACTTTGAAGTATCGTTTTGTCTCATTTCCTCCTTTGCCATGATGAATGAATGCACTTGACTTTTTAATAAATTGAAAAGAAAAACTGACTTCAAAATTAAAAAATAATAATAAAAAAAAAAAAAAGGAAAAAAAAAAGAAAAAAAAAGAAGCAAAAAAAAAGAAAACAAGTTTAAAACTAAACTATTTTCTTTACAGATATAACCGTCAAAATTATATAAACATCATGTGATATTTTTTATCCCTTTGTATTAAATATCGTATGCACACATTACATCCAGAAGTAAAAATAGTTAGGTTTTAGGCCTACTGAATTATTCACTCAAATGTGACTGGTCAAAAATGTAAAAAAAGTTTTATCCACAAGTGCAAAAGCACTACAAATCCTTTTAATAGAGTATCACCACCTAAGTCTATTACAGAGTTCAAACTTTCAGTTGCAATACACAGCCAGTTGATTTTGAACAAACAGCAATGCTAATGCTCTCCAAACAAACTAAACCTTTCACTTGTTGATTGTAGAAATGATGAATATCAGCACAATTTTTTATCCTTTATAATTCTGACGCTCATGAAAATCGCCTCATAGCAAACCTGTAAAAAAAAAAATGCATTTATTAGCATAGTTAACAAGCTTTGAAAAAACTGAATAATACAAAATTAAACATTAAATTTTTCGGTTAGGTGTGCGAAACCTTTTGATTTTTGAGTAAAAGGTTTTTAAAAAAGGCAATTTTATGAATTAGGCTATAAAATATTTCAAATATATACTTGGGAATATATTTTGGGAACAGCAAAAATAGTTTAAATTGCATAAAACTCATATATTAATATTTTTAAAAAGAACCATGCAATCATTTCAAGGCAATCCAGGAGGTGTGTGCAACTCAGGGCAGCAGGTTGCTGACCACTATACAATAATTTAAAATTTATGTTATCCCACCGTAAAAGTAAATTGACATATTTACATATTTCCATTTACAATTTAGGCCTTCAATAACTTCAGGAAACTAGGTATGTCTACATATACAAAGTTCAATACAAAAAAATTCATGTTGGCTAACAAAAACAGTTGTGAACAAGATCTTGTATGCCTGTGAATCCTGGACATTAACAGCCGATTTTGAAAAGAAAATGTAATGGAGATGAGATGCTTCAGAAGCATTTTTGCCATCTGCTATAGGGACCATATCTCCAAAGATACAGTGAAAGAAAGGGTTTGCCAGGCAATTGGGGAGTACGATGACCTACTGGTGACTGTGAAAAAATGCAAACTACAATGGTACGGCCATGTAACAAGGAAACAAGGGCTTGCCAAAGAAATATTGCAGGGCACCACAAGAGGGAGAAGAAGAGGAAGACAAAGAAAAAGATGGGAGGATAACATCAAAGAGTGGACAGGACTAACACTGGGCGATGCTGTGCGTAGTGCAGAAGACAGAGACGAATGGAGGAGGATAGTTCACATGTCATCTGTGGCGCCCCAACGGTCCAAGAACTAAGGGACATCAAGATGATGAAACAAGATTCCCTTGTATTTCATTAAATTACAGGCACTAAAGTAATACCTAGACTGTAGGATATAAATACAAAATACCATTTGTTCATTGTGTTTCTTTACTCATTCTTGGTACACTCAAGTGCACAATTAGACCTAGCCAATATGGCACTGCTATAAACAGTAATTTCTAATTGTCTATATCATATATACTATTATTACTATTATTAATTAGGTACGTTTACTAAGCGGTGCACGCAGATAGATTTTTTGGATGTCGGAAACAGACCATAAACCGATGACCGGTCAATGTCGGTAGGTCACGGGGTCATACTGAGATTTAGTTTCCTTTGTCTATGTGAGGGAGAGACAATAAACTTACTAAGCGACTGTTTTGTGCACTCGAGGACGACGATCATTACAACATAAATTTTTTCATTGGACTGACAGGGCGTGTGGCAGATATCTTTCATTGAGAAACCAGATAAGATGGCTAGCTCTATATAGGGATAACAATACTTGTTCACGCACCGTTCTGCGCATGTCCTAAAATGTCGATAAAATGTGTTCTAAAATATGGCGTACGGCTACACGGTATCTTTGGAAAATTGCATACTACGTAGCCTTTGTTTATTAAATAATGCTTTCCTCATCAGTGACGTATCAGTTTTTGTGTTCCGGTGATATATTGATTTATGCCACTAGATTTTTTGTGTATCCCGGACAGTATTATTATAATGACTCGGTTAGTATATAAATCGTATAAAATACTTTTTTACTAGTTAAGCAACCAAAATAAGGTTTAGTGATACCCAATCTACATTCCTTTTAAGAGTTTTTTCATTATTTGAGTTATTATCTTGACTTTGTCTATAAAAAGTTATGCATCCCACGAAGGAGTGGGGGTACAAAATTGTCATTTTTTTATTTTGATCAAGAAGCCGGAAATGGCTGCTATCACTGTGATTCGTTAATGTTAAATCCTTAAACAGCTAAATAATGATAAGACGTTTAAAATGAATAATTTTAAGAAAAGATTATAACCAAAGTTTAATTATGTAGTAACCAAGGGTTGGTTTTAAGTTTTATTTATTACGTTAAAAATTGTGTACGGTACCGGTAGACAGTTTATCGTTCTTCATAATTATTGAATCAATATTTAAATTTAATAGTGTTATAATAGTAATGTCAATAATAATAATCGTTTTTCTCTTAATAATTATTTCAGAGAATATTACTAAAATTAGGCCGATATATCAGTTATAATTATAAACAACTGTTATTATAATCCTGCCTAAGCTTAATTTTTCATAATCATAATTCTATTACTAGTACTACGACAATCAACAACCACACTTACTAATAATATATTTTTTAGTTAAGCCTATATATAACAGTTTTATTAAAATACATCAAATTAATAAACAAGAATCAAACAACATCATCGTTGTAATTATATTTTTATTAGAACATAGAAAAGCAGTACATAGACAATTATTTAATATATCAAATAACATTTTTTAATAAATTAGTCTCATCATCATAGATGATTTTGAGTAATTTTTATTTATAATTACATGCGTTCCAATTTATATATATAAAAAAAGACTACTTACCTTTTTATAAATATAATAATTGATTTAAAATGTAAAACAAGCATAATAAAATTAGTTAAAATTCAATAAACATGTTATTTTTTCGTTTTTTCCTGTATAAATGATGATTTTCCCAATTTTTCTCTTCACTTTTTTCTGAACATACCCACATATAAATATTTAAAAAAATAAAAGTCTTGATGTTATGTAAAAGTTTTGTTGTTTATTGGGTTGTATATTGCATTGAGAATCTCTCCTGAAAATTTGGTAGCATTATCTTTTAAAATCCAAAAGTTTTGGGCAAAATAAGGCAGAAATTTGGAAAGTGGGTCACACGTTTTTTCATTTAAATACTAAGATAAAGAAGGGGGTTTTAAAAAATCACCAAAAAAATCATAACTCCACTTCTATAAAAGATAGAAAGATGAAATTGGTGTTGTTGTAAAGCTTATAGCTAGTCCTTTAAAATGATGTATCATTCATGATATTCTGACAATATTTAAATTGTGTGTCAAAGTACCTACTCTATATTTTGAAAACCATAATAGTATTCCAATTACCGTCTTTATTTGCGTATAACACGCCTATTGGTGTATAACATGCCTCCCCCGTATAACACGCATCTCAATTTAAGAGGAAATTTCAGGAAAAAAAACTAAATATTATATCGGCGTATACCACGCACACATGCTTTGCCCCCCTATTTTCTGGGAGAAAACGTGCGTGTCCTACGCCAATAAATACGGTAATTGTTTTTCTATTAAACGTATGAACGATTTAAATAATTGAAACAAGGAACATAATGACATTTAGGTAGGCCATAAATTGTATAGACAGGGTGTCAATTTGAGCATAATTCGCAACCAGTTTTCGATTAGGCCAAATGAACCGGAAGTGATAACCATTCAGTTATTATTCTTATTGCATAAGAAGTTTTTAAAAATCTTTTTTCAGGACATTTTTAGTCAGCGTCTACACATCTGGCGACCAGACAAATAGTCTGGGAAATTTTCTTCCGGAGGGCATGTCATGTGACCGCCAGACTACTAGTATATGTTATTATTCCGGCAGACATGTCATGTGATAAGAGGTCGCAGGCAATTTTTTTTTAAAAGTCTGTTATCTTGGTTTAAATATCTTATAAAGCTCTACCTAGTAGCTTAAATTTAAAATATGAAACAAAGAAAACAAGATGAATACTTGCCAGTTGACTGTCAATAGATTTACTGTCAAAAGTTTTATTTTTGGCTATTAATATTATGTGAGAAGTAGGCTACCCCAACAGCACACCATATTTTATTGGTCCTATATTTAATACGAAGTAGTACAAATAGTGCGGGAGATAAACGTCCGGCCGGACGACTGGAAGGCGTTATTATTCCGACAGGTCATGTGACAAGTGGTTGCCGGTAAAATAGTTGCATTGCATTTGATATTTCGATCCCTAGATAATAAATAAATGTTGAATATGTTAATATATTCAAATGCTCTGAGATACATAAAGTGTTTGACTTTGAACATTCAACTAGTCGGCCTATATACTAACTAGTAGTACTATTACTACTACTATTACTAGTCTATTTGATTCCGACTCTTCAAAGAAAAAAGTCCTTTATCTTGGTTAAACCTCTTGTAAAGCTCTACCTTGAAGCCTAAATTTAAAATATGAACCAAATAAAATAAGACCAGTAGACTTCAATAGACCTATGTCAATAAAGTTGTATTTCAGGATTAGTATTGCATGAGAACTAGGCTAGGCTACCACTATATCAGCCCTATATTAAGATGAAGGGTCTATTTCTTTGTGAACTATCTGCCTCCCCGCCTGAAACTTATTATTTATCACCTTCACTATTGTTTTTTT